TGAGTTAGAATTTTGTTCTACATTTTTCTCTAGCTTTGTCTGGGACCCTCTGTTGTGATCCCTGTCAGAGCAGTCAGTGGTGGTAGCTGGGTATCATCTAGTTGTACTGGACTCAGTCTAGTAGAGGCTGTGGTAGTTGTGGTCCATTAGTCCTTTGGACTAATCTTTCCCTTGTATCTTGTTTCCTTCATTCTCCCTTGCTCCTGAAACGGTAAGACCAGTGGAGTATCTTAGATGGCTGCTCACATGCTTTTAAGACCTCAGATGCTACTCACCAAGGTAGAATGTAGAACATTTTCTTTAAAAACTATGTTAGAGGGCTGTAAATCTTTATGGAAGCAGATTGCCACATCTTTCTCCTGTGGAGTGGCTGGTGGGTTCGAACCACCAGCCTTTGGGTTAGCAGCCAAGCAGTTAACCACTGTGCCGCAAGGGCTCCTTTTTTAGAGCTTAGCAACTCATTATAAAAATTAAAACCCTGTATGAGTTAGATTTGACCTGAGGGTTGTCAGCTTGTGACTTTGGCCACGGTACCTCCATTTTAGTACTTACTACATTGTATTCTAATTATTTGCATGTCAGACTCTGATAAAATGTGAGCTGGAAGGCAGGGATTGTGTCTAATCATTGTACTCCCTTGCCTGTCACAGTGCCTGGCATAGAACAGACTGTGTAGTTGACACTACAAAGTGAGGTGGGTTTAGTACATAGTGTGTGATGAGGCCTGTTGGAAGCTGAGTAAGAGCTACAGGGTGGGGGGTGGGCAGATGGTAAAGCATTGAGGGCACAGTTGTGGGGGATGGTGGTATAATGTAGGAAGATGGTGAAAGATAGTAGACCCAACCCTGGATCTCAAGGAGCTTGAACTGCAATCATGTATATCTTTAATGAGAAGATGGAGAAGCAAATGGCTGGGTTAACAGAAGCCTACTCTTGGCCTTTGGCCACTTTAGAGTATTCCAGATGGATCTAGGAGGATCCACCCCAATACAGATCATTAATTCAACAGATACTTATTGAAGTTTATTGTGTGTCAGCCACCATCTTAGGTGCTTGGCATATTGCAGTGAACAAAGGAAACGAGATCCCCTGCCATAATGAAACTTACATTCTAGTGAATATTGGCAAGGAAGACTAAGAGTCTACTTTGTGAAGAGGATCATAACCAGTAGTTAGCTGAGTGGGCCTCTGATGGGTCAAGATGTTCTAGAATGACTGATCAGGCCTTGGAACCCTAGTGTGAACCCCATATCAACGCAGTTCCTAGGCTGAGGTCATAGGCACTGCTCCCCTGCCTGTCCTCTCCTGCGTGGTTCCCAGGCAGGAGCGAGTACTATGGGCATGTAACTTCAAAGTCATGGTATAATGAACCTTTCAGAGTTTCAGCCTTTTAGGAATGCCTACTCATTTCCCCCAGAGACACTTAACTTTTTTTATTCTGGATCTTAGCATTTTTACGGGAGAATGTGATGAAAAGTTATTCTGTTCCTCACTCAAGGGGTGCCTCTGAAAGCGAAACGCCAGTCAGGATTCTAGGATCCTTTCTCTTCCTGGGTTAAGTGAGGTTTAAAGCAGCGTGGGCAGCCTCCCATGGGGCCAGATGCTCACTGTGCTGTGTGGGACTGTTTGGCTGTTTCTTTCTAAAATTAGATCGCAAGATTTGTGTGTGTGCCCGTTTACATTCCGATTCTGAGTGTATTACTTGGTGTGTTTATTTTTGTCCTCTTGCTGACTGTATTCTAGGATGAAGATATCCACAAAGAGGTAAATATGGTACCTGGGGCTATTAGGCATACCAGTTACCTTAGAGTTAAGTGGGAATTCGTTCACACAAATGGTTATTTTAAAGCCAGGTGGTAGAATTGGGAGCTCCTGTGAAAGAAGCAGAGAAGTGTCTGCTGGAAGAAAGAGAACACAGGACTTGGCATTAGAGGGCTGGGACTTGAGACTGGGCTCTACTAATTGCCTGGATCTTGAGCAAGTCCACTGATGTCTCTAATCTGCTGTTTCTTTATCGGGAAATGGTAATAACGGTAACACCAGGTTGATGTGGGGATTAAACAAAATATGCATTTAAAAGCACATTAATAAACTGTAAAGCACTGTACAACATTCATTCAGTAAATTAGTGAATAAATGTTTGGACAGTGCTTTACTGTTTTTATGAAGGGGTAGCAAAGAAAGAGGAGGTAAGCCTGAGTTTCTCTTAGAATTGATTTGAAGTCTTAAAAGGCTCGTTTGTCTATAGGTTGACTAGTGATCCAGAGAGGAGTTTGTAGCTTTCTGGTTTTGGTAGGTATTCCTTATGAATAAGGAATATTCTTTGTGTATATACACAAGCCTTGGAGTCATGCAGGCCAGGGTCGAAATCCTGGCTCTGCCACGCAGTAGCTCTGTGACTGAGCAAGTTGCTTAACTTTTCTAAGCCTCAGTTTTCTCGTTTGTAAAACAGAGATCATAATACAACCTCATTTATAGAGTGACTAGAAATAAAAAATGAAATAATATAGGTTAAGCCCTTAACATTGTATCTGACTCATAAGTGCTCAATCTGTTGCTAGCCATTAGTTCTCTAGAACTTGCCATCAAGTCAATTCTAACTTATAGCAACCCTGTAGGACAGTGCAGAACTGCCCCATAGGGTTTCCAAGGCTATGATCTTTACAGAAGCAGACTGGCACATCTTTCTCCTATGGAGTGGCTGGTAGGTTTGAACCACCGACCTCTTGGTTAGCAGCTGAGTGCTTAACCATTGTGCCACCAGGGCTTTTTATACCTCCATGCTAAGGTTGAAAGTCATAGTACCTATAACTCTACACTAAGGCACAGTGGGAATGCTGGACTGACATTCCCACATGGCAGCAGTTGGCTGGAACTGGTAATGGTGCTGGCTTATCTGAGGCCTGCCCTCTCCGGTTCACCACTTCTTACTTTAATACACCTATGACTCTTTTCTTGCTCTTTCCTTCTTCTGGTCACCTCCGTAACCCCTGAGGGCATTCTACCTAGAGAATGTGGCTCAGGCCAGTTAATTAAACTCTTCCTCTCTGAGAGAATAGGAAATGGTCATTCTGTGATAAATTTCCAAGAACTTAACTAATTTTACTAATTAACCATAAAGATGAGTTCTTCATGTAGCTTTACTAGCTCAGAGTTGATTAGAGTTGTGCTTTCTTCATGAGGATTGTCCTGAAGCTTAAATAAGGTAATGCATGTAAAGTGCTTAGCGCTGTGCCCTGCACACAGTAACCTCTCAAGAAATGATGAGTACTAAGGGAGTTTATGATGGCACTCTTAACAGTTCAGGTTGGTATTACAGTTATTGAGGATGT